CAAAACATATATTCATTAGATTCTAGGAAAATTGCTAAATAGGAAGAAGAATAACAGATAGGCTTTCCTGCAATTTACTTGAGTAAAATAAGAAATGGCTAAAAAAAATAAAAGTAAAATATATCTAAAATTATGTTATGGAAAGGTAAAAGTGAAATGGTTTTATAATAAGAGGTGGGCAAGTTGGTAGCAAAGACGCACAACAAAATTGTCGTTTCATTTCAATGTGACAACAGTTTTTTGACAGCAGATTAGTTTAACATTGAACATCCCACCAAAACAGTAATCCATTTCCAAGTGCATAATAATTCATTGTTGCCCTTCACTGTACATTAAATGTCACCCATCACTGTGACAGGAATATAAAAGCTGCTGCACACTAGTCAGGAATCAAGATCAAAACTGTTAATATAAGCACTTTGGACATGGTTTTCCAAACTCGGTTATACTATTAAGAACACTCTATTTAGAACACCTCTACCTCTGAGCTCCAAGAGAAATACAGAATACTTTTACAAGTATAAGGACACTCAGTAAGGCAAGAGCCTTGTCATCTTGCGACCATGACCATGTTAGAGCCAAAACATGTCAAGACAGTCCTTGTGGTCACTATAATAATAAAGCCTTCAGAAGATTCTAAGGATACCATACTCTGCTGCCTACTTCAATGATACAATAGATAATATTCTAAAAACAATGTAAAGTGATTCAAGGTAAAAACATGCAAGATATTCCTATATTCTTCTTTACTCAGAAACACTAATGTTATGTATTAATAACAGTGAATATTCCTTGATTTGTTTTCTTGCTAAGAAGGCCAGGTTAGTAAATATTGCTTGCCTTCTTGTACTCTTTTTCCTATTTTGACCATATTCATGTGTTCATTTAAATAACCTAAGAAATTTCTGGGTAATAATATCCTTACTACAAAATTTGGTATAGTATTATTTTTCTTCTCTAGACTTTATTTGTATTTAATTTTAAATGCCAATCTCAGAATAAAACATGTAGTGTTCTCATATATTTAGGAATAATTATTAAGCTCATATCAATCCTGTTGGAGGGAAATGTGTGTACCATTATTCCCCTCTTTTAAGTTTAGTTTTCAGTCATTCATCTCTGTATAACAAACTAGTAAGAATCCTAGACCAGGATTTACATGCTGTATTTCAGAACAGCTCTGGTTGTCTTGGAGACAACTATGATTAAAAGAAAAAAAAAAGTTCTCTAATATTATGGGAATTTAAATTGACTTATTTTATAAATAGTATTTATTGTATCAATATCATCTCTTCTTTAATAAAGAAAATATTTGAAGCAAGGTGAAAAATATCTCATCATTTGTGTAAAGCGTGTATTCCTTAACCAGTTTTTATATGACTAACTGACATCTCTATGCTAATATACCTAGGTCAAAGAAAAAAAGAATAGAAAGAGGGGGAAAAGTTTAGGGGTAATTATGATTAAGTACAAATCATGGACAAGATTTTTTCCTAACCCTCTGTCAGCCAAGAGCTTTTGTTAGGATACCTGGGATAAGGCCATTCTACGGCTAGAACACATTACCCTTGGGCTCATCTCTACTCTTAAATAAGATTTCTTGGCTAATTCAGACAAGCATATTGGTTATGTCATTATGCTATAAACAATAATGCGACTGTTTGCAAGAGATCACAGATTATAAAACCATACCAGCAAAATAAGTAAGACGATAAATATCTTTGTTAATACTGGTTAAAAAATTTAGATCTTTTGCTAAGTATTTTTTTAGATTACCTTTTTCTTATAAAATAAAGGTACAAAGGTATCACAATCACCAACTACCTTTAAATTCAATTTTAAAAAACATAAATTCTAACAATTACCATCAGTTCTTAATTTATCATAAAATTAGTATTGTTAATACTATGATATAGCAGATAATTCAATAAGCCTTAAATCTAATATTCTAATGATAACAACAATCTACTTAATGCTCTACTTCCTTTACAGTTAGCTATATGTTTTTCTTCAGTGAAATATGTTACAAGCCATTTTTTAGGAAAATATATTTAAAATACATGGTATTCACAAAAATTTAGGATAACTATCAAATATTCCAATGTATGTCATTCATAGACAATAGATATTTATTGATAGGTAAAATAAAAAAGCTACACTTATCTTGATAACAAATATTGTGATTCCATTTAAATTAGAATGGCAATTAAGTTTTACAGTTGAAACTTGGATATTTCCTCTGTATTTGTACATCATGAACTTCTTCCATGGTAACAATAATTCAATGTCATGTCAGAGTGGATTTTAATTATATAAATTCATTTTGTTCAGGAGTTTTAATGTAAAATTTAAATGGACTCTAGCCAATAAATTATCTTTTAATCTGAGTTTTTACTGAATTTTTTAAAATGGCATATTTACACAAAATTATTTTAATACTGAGAATGAACAAAATATTCTGAAAGAATCTATAGTTTATTTTTACATTATGTATTATTTTACCAAGGACATCTAATATTATTTCTTAATATAGAATGTTTATTATTTACCAGTCTATCTGTTAATTTGCCCATAAATAAAGAATTTACACTTAATTTTTAAAGTATATGAGAATATTTTCATATCATTAAATAAAATATTGAAATAAAATCATTTTCAAATACATTAATGTGTTAACTAATGACAAAATGTAACAACAATATTTCAAAAATTAAATACTGAAAAATGGTACCCAGCTAATGTTATATTCTCAAATAGGATGATCCAATGTATTTCTTTTGAGTAAAATTAATACATGTACTTTGTTCAAAAATGCTTGAAAATAAGAGGGCTGTTTTATTTTCAGAAGATATGAAAAAAGTTGGAGCTAAAAAATTATATAGATGTTATATTATTACATTATTTGATGGATTATCAAAGTGAGAGGTATAGAAATATTTTGAAAGTTAGATAAGCATATATACATACTACATACCTCTACTTGCAAATGTATTTTTAAGCTGTGAAAGAATCCAGATGTTTCAGTATTTGCCTTTGAATCTAATTTCAGAACATTTAGGCAAAGAAGATTGAGACTGTCTAAAATTTTTAATGTGAATTTGAAATAACCCAATCGCCTCTGTTTAAAATCCTTTGGAAACTACAGTTAGATTTACTTCAGCATGATTGATGCCCACGCTATTGCCTCAGAATTCTCAGAAACTTCTCCTCCTGGCTTTGTTTATATTCTACCTGGGGAATTTTGTTAATTTAATTAAGAAGAAACAACTGTACCTGCAGATTTTTTCTATACTTTGGCTTTTTCTTTACTTTGAACTATTTAGTTTTCTGTTTGCCCTATGGACAGATTTCATAGTTCTCCAGTCACTAAATAATTTGAACTGTCATCCTTGAACTCATATCTCTGAATACATATAAAACAGGATTGCTTGTGTTGGTCACTATAAAAAGATGTAGTTTGTTCAAAGATGCTTGAAAATAAGAGGGCTGTTTTATTTTCATAAGACATGAAAAAAAGTTGGAGCTAAAAACTTAAGAACTTCATACGCCAAAATTTCCATTTCTGGGGGAGAACTCCAAACTTCAAATACATATTTTAACACTATCTATCACAGAGCTACAAATGCTACATGTACATATGGTTCCAAAACAAATTTTTTGACAAATGTAAATGATAATTGTTTGAAGCACTCAAGTGTTAATATTGAACCAATTAGGTGAAATATTATAAATTTGTATGAAATTTATGTATAAATATATCAAAAACATTTGTATATAAATATGACAAAGTAAATATGTCAAAATATATAAAAATATTATTCTGCCTCTATTGTTGATTTTGTTTTTTTAATTAATTTTTTTGTACTGCTAGGAAAATATACATAACTTCATTGAAAAAATAATAAATTCAAAGAAGGCCAAATATCTTTAGTGATAAATTGATCAGAAGAAGTTATTTAATGTAATTTAACCCTCTCCTCCACATATTTAATATTTAATTTTGATGATAGAGCAAAAAAACATATTTATAGTTGTACTTTATACATATTATCAACATGAAAAAATGATATGTAAAATTATAATTCATCTTAGATTTCAAGCTATCTTTTTGATATGTGTTAGCATATAAAAATTCAAAGTCTATAATGAATATGTGACTTTTAAGCTCATTAGAGTAACAATAGTGTTCTGAGTCCTGAGGGATAGTTTTATCTTCTTAATTAAGGCAAAAGAAAACTAAATCACATTGAAATGATCATCTGTTAGAAATTTGATAGTGAGGTAAGCAAAATGAGAAATGATTACAAATTTCTACTTCCAGAATAACAATAAAGTAGCAAAAGCAATATCGATTAAGCTATATCATAGGTTGTAGAGACCATTATGTAAATTAAAACTATGTTTTTTTAGTTAGGCATTAGAGTTTCTGATTCTATGATTAAAATAAAACCTACATGTCAAGAAAATAAGGCAAATTTTTATAGTGTTATGTTTATTCTTTGAAAAAAAGACCAATTTTATGTAGAAAATAGTGGTAGTCTTTTTATATTTAAAATGCTTGTTTTTAATTAGCCTTACTTCAATAAAATGAAGCCATTTTTTAAGTTTTACCACTTTGGTTTTTCTTATGACTGATTTATTAATATAAATTAGTAAAACTAATTAGTAGTACTAGTATTTTGCTGTCGGGCTCAAGAGAAATCTTCAAAATAAGGAAAAAATTCTTATATCATACTGATTTGGACTACTTTTAGTTTCTGATTAAGAAAAGTAAACTCTATCACAATTATAGCTTACTGACACAACCAGTATGCTTTCTGCCCAAAAAGGCATCATAGTACATTTTAATAAGTTATATGAATCTTCAATGTTCATTATTCTTCAGCACCCCATGGAGAATAAAGAAAAAGAAAAGTAAAATTGATTGTGACTTTTGACAATTATTAGTTAGAAAAAAGAGTTAACAATTGCCAAAAAAATCACAAAAGTGAGCATGTTACCTGGCTATGACAAAGAGCACACAACTGACACCCAAGTAAGCCAGCAGAATATACATCCAGATATCAGGGGAGAGAGGATTCAGGAAGGAGAAGACGCCTGGGTTTGTACCATTGGGCTTGCGGTACAAAATACTTATTCCAAGTGTCATAAAGGGCTTGGAAAAGTCGATGACCTTCTCTCGAACGTAGGTAATAGCCAGTGGAGCAACTGCAAGGTCAGCTTTCTGTAGACAGAAACATAAAAAAGAAAAAAAAAGAAAAAAAAAAAAGGAAAATAGTCAGTAACCAAATTAAAATGAAGACTTTGCACTTGAGAATTGTTTCAGTAACGATCATACTGAGATTTAAAGCATTCTTCGCTGTGAAATAAAGGAGCTGATTTACTCTGCTTCTATTTCTATGTGCTTCTGGATTAGCAAAGCAAAATTTATTGAAGAATAAAGGGAAAAAGAAAAAAAACAATTTGATGAAAACACCGAAGAAACGATTATACATTCAGTACCTGAATTATCATGCTACTGAACCTTTATAAAATTACTTTGAACCTAAACTATAAAAACTACTTAATATCACTTGTGATTTTCTAAATACTTTGGTTAAATTCCAAATGGTAATAATAATAGCTACCTCAAATTATTTCTCTGATAATCAAGTATCATTTTTTCTTATTTTAATACCATTGAATACAATTAAAAGTTTTTTAGTCTTTAAATAGTTAACATTGTGATGGTGTTTACTGTCTCCGAGCTTTCTTTCTATCCCTCTCATTTGTTTCATATTATTTAATGAAAATCCTTGCAGCCTTGCCCAAATCGCATTAGGAAATGAGTTTTTCAATTTTCATAAAGTTGCTAATTTTCCACGGTAGCTTAAATATGTTAAATTACTAATGCTTTTCACTCATCATGTTATAACTATCTGTCAGGGGTGAACTTAAATTCTAGTATATTGAAAGAAATAATTATAATATTTTAATAATAACAATAGCATCTATTCTCATCTCCGATGAGAAGCTATATTTCTACATTCCTTTTATTTTCATAAACACACTTCATTTTCAGAGAATATAGAAGAAATGCTTATTGTAGAAAGCTACGGAAAGACATATAAATGAATAAAATTGGGCCTATACCATTTCCTCAGTCAAGGATTATTGGAGGACTTCTAGAAGGAACTCCTCTAAGAGGCTAGGTAGTTGACTCTATTATCCTGTGTATGTGTGTGCATTTGTGTGTTTGGGAAATGGGGGAATGAAGAGTATGAGGGAGCCCTCAGATGCTTGCATAAAGTATCCTCGAGAGTAACTGTGGAGAAAGACATTTCCTTAAAAATTTGCAAAGAAAAACAGATCTTCAGGGTTCTGGGAAGGGTATCATTATATTTCATGTTCATAAATCAAGGAAAATATCAATTTGACAACAATAATTACTAATATCCCTTAAGCATTTACCGTGCAACAGGCACTGTGCTAAGAATTTTACATGAATTGTAACATTTAATCCTTACACAATCCTACTATTCCCATTTTCAGAAAGAAAACTGAGTTCATGAGAAGTTAAAAACTTGTTCCTTTTCATAGAGTTTATTGAACACTGGAACCAGGACATAAACCCAAGCTATTGGAATCTATACATGGAAATAACAATGATATGCATCTCAGAAACCAGAAATGGAATTGTGATGACATGATTCATTCATGCATTAATTTATGAAAGAGTTTGTAGAGAAGAAAAGGGAACTATATAGAAGAGAGGGCAGTGATTAATAGATTACAGTCTATGAGCATTTAGAGGGTAAGTGCAGAGTTCAGGCAGATGGAATATGTTTCATAGGAAGTAGCACTTCCTTTAAGACAGAAAAAGAAAGTAAAGATGGATTGAAAAAGTAAATAATTTTATTAGGGA